AAGTGGGTTTTATAAAAAAAATAATAAATAAATAAATAAATAAAATAAAATAGTTGGAAATGCTAATAACGAGTAAATAACGAGTAAAATTGTCATTAAATCCGATCCTACTGGAGATATGACACACGACTCCCTTTATCTCTCCACTCCATCGACTTTAAACCACCAAAATTTAATAGCACGAATCTTTCTAATACACAAACCTTCCTGCAAAGCTTTAAAAATTTTCGAAGTTAAGCGCACGAGTTAAGCTTGAAAGAGGGTAAACAAAATCCGGTCCCAAACATTAACATCTATACGTAAAGAATAAAGAAAAAAAACTGAATTCTTTGCATTACTCGACGTTTATAAAGATATTATAGTGACAATGTTCGTGTCTTCTGTTGCGACGAGCGCACCTAACGGAATTTAACGGAAAAATATAAACAGCATTACAGCATCGTCTCCGTACACAGATCGTCGTCCCATGGCATGCAGGTACGAGCATAGCTTCTTTTGTGGCAGGAAGTGCAAAGTTCCCCCGTCCACGACAGTCGGGTACTATACAATGATCGCTTCTTCTAACCTAATAATTGCAGGTATCGCTTCTTTCCTTCCGGCTCTTCCTCAATTATATCGCGATACGACAAAGTCACGCGATGTCCTCCACTTTTATTCATTTTAGTTAAGTATAGTGTTTATTGCTGCTTGAATAATGGTGGAAAAATTGTGAGATGCAAAAATGATACTTCAAAATTTCAATAGGCTTTATAATGAAGATTTGAAGATCAACAAGTTTTCAGTAAATGAGAAAGAAATTATCTAACTGATCTAAAAGTTAGTCTTCTTTTAGTCTAAAATTTTTCTGCGCAGTTAAATGCTAAAATACACGAATGAATCAGGAAAGTCCTGTCCTTATCGCGCCATAAATTTTAAAATTTACATACATTTCTAGAAATGAGACGTTGTTCTTAAGTCCATTTATTCATACTTTGAGATATTTAACGTTTTGCGTTTGAATCAACTAAAAAATATTGGCTAACGTTAATAAATTCGGTAAATGTTTTAAAAGTATAAACTGGTTAAATTTTATTATTTAATAATAATTAATAAAATTGTTAAAGAAAATAAAAGACTTTTTAAAACTACAAATCGACTTATACCACTTTCAATGATAACAAATTCTGAAAAATATAAACAATAACAATTTTAAATTTATATTTTAATTCAACTTGGCTTTTCTGAAGTGTATTTTTTATGTAAGAAATAATAATTTAAAATAACGATAATCGACTTTACAAAATTAGTTATATTAGAATTTATAAATGAACAACTATGAAAAGTACTTTATTAAGATAACTAATAATAAATTAATTATATTTCAATCTTATTGTTTTTTTACACTTAGCACAGTGAAGTAATTTTGTTCAATAGGAGGCATGTAAGGCAGTAAACTCGTCACACGATTATATTTCTCTCTTGTTATAGGTCTTGAAGTTGTGTAGGGTGGTAACAGTAATTATGCTAAAATTTTTAGGCCTTCCTTGTTTTTAAAATAAATCAAGAAGTTTAAATTGTGCATATTTTTCCACAGAAGTTTGTAGAAAATGTTATAAGGTTCTTTCCATTTAAACTTCATCAAGCAAATTATCAGCCAATTCATAATTTTCCTGTCTGTATTTTTCCCTCTTTGACAGTGCTTCTTCTTTAGTTCAGACAAAATCTTCTCGTTTTATTTTATACAAAAGGAAGTTATTTTTATTCCTGCAATTCTCTATTACATTGTAATAGTCCTAGGCAGTATATAATTGCTTATAATGCTCTAAAATCTTGCGAAAGAAAACTAAATGGAATGAGGAAAAGAACTTCTCATCACTTCATCTGAGCAGTAACACCGTTATCTTGTTTATTACGTTGTGTTCTTAGGACATTAACTATTATCTGTTATAAAGACTTTAAAGAAAGTTATTTCAATTATTGATTATTATGAATGGACTTATTCCACTTTCAAACAAGGCTCAAATATAACTATGAGTTTTTAATACTGAATCTTATATTTCCATTTATCAGCCTGTCCAGCACATTATTTTGGAAAACATTGTAACCAGCAATGTTACGATAAATTTGGAAATGTGATAGACTGTTCTGAAATCCTTTTTTGTCTGCCCGACCCATATGGATGTTCCTGTTTAAGTGGATACCTTCTCCCATTTTGCAATGAAAGTAAGTATTACATATCGGTATAATGTTTGTTTCATAAAATACTGTATATAATTATGATTTGGTTTGCTTGGTTACGGAAACGTGGCACGTGGGCGATCTACCGACGGGAGAAGCCTTTTGGGAGGTTTTTTATGGGAAAATGGTCTGTTTAGATGCTACTTAAATGAAGAAAACCCGGAAAACTCCACGTGGTCAGCCCGTTGGCGAGGTGTGAACCCACGACTTGTGTTCAGTGGCGAATATCGTAAATGCGTTGAGGTTTTTGAAATATTCTATTGAAGGACGAATCGCAGCTCCTGAAGCAACGACAGACAACACATTCGATCCTACAACAACTCAATATCCAAGAGCGTAATCAATGTCTCCCTGTATCCGAAAAACGCATTATGGATTTCTTTGGCTATTTTATCGGATTTAATAATCTTGAAGGACATGTCGATAACATTATTCAGGGTCGGTGTAAGACACCTACTGCGAGTGTCTTTTATCAATTTCTTCCATTTACACGTAATTTACAAAATTAAATATAAATCTTATATTTTCAGCATAATAAATGAATTTGATATTATGAAATTTTCTATTGAAAACAAAATTTATAACATCATATTCTTAGTTCATGTAATTAAATCGAAAGGCGATTAATTCAAAAATTAACAGTGAAATCCTAATTATCTATTTGTAGGAGTATACAAATTATTTTCATTTAGAAATGATACACATATACAAATATAATGTAAATGTTTTATGTATATTTATTTTTCAGTCTGTGAGAATGGACGGTATGGAGTGAATTGCCTACAAAATTGTCCTCAGAACTGTTATACAACTTGCAACCCTTTTAATGGAACATGTATTGGTGGATGTAAATCAGGATGGCATGGCGCTATGTGCCAAATAAGTGAGTTTAATCAAATATATTCCGTTTTTAAAATAAGCATATTACTAGCATATTTTGATTGTAACGAAAAACATATATAGGATCATTTACAAAATAAAATGTAATCGTTACATGTAAAAGAAAAAAAATCTTTAGACTTTTCAGAACTCTAATAATTATATTTGTGATTTTAAAAATGAATTATTCAAAATTTGAAATGACACTGCGCTACGGTATGTTTTTAGTGCTGAAAGGAATCATAACTGAGCTATTACTGCAGATCGTGGCTTCTCATTTCTCTCTTTTGCTCACTAACGTTCATAATGATCAGCACCGAAACCGTTAGAGATGAATTATTATATATGACATAATTCATAATGTCTTGAAAATAAATTCAATATTTTATATATTATCACTAGGCATTTCAAAATTCAATGTTCACCACAAGCCATTATCCGGCATTAACAAAATATTTATTCCCTGACAGAATCTTCGTTGTTTTCTCATATCAATGTCGGATGCTTTCATGAGTATTTTAAACGTACAAATATTATAAATTTATATATATGTATATAGATACATATAAGAATTCTTTAGCCAAGAGTTTTATTATTCATTGAGCGAAGCTCTTAATATGTCAGAAAGTGTTTTATTCGTAATCCAAATTTAAAGCAACCGCGCAACATTTAAAAGCGATTTTTGCAAATGTGTACTGTACAGTACAACTGGATAATGTCGATGTCTTGACGTAGACAGAATTTTGATATTCGATCTATGGACTGAAATATTCGAGGTCAAATTTCGTCATGTATAGTCTGGGAGTCAATTGCCGGCTGTAAGTAAAGAATAATAAAAAGAGGACACGGTTTCGGAATAAGTCAAGAATGTTTTGATTTTAAATAGTAGTATAATATAAATTTTCAACTATTATGTTTTGTTCTATAAACGAAAGAATGAAATACATTTTCAGTCTTGTTCTTGTTTTTGGTTTTCCTGTTTCATTATAATTTTTATAATGAACTCTGAGACGAACATTCTACATTTAAAAAGGACATTTCCGGAGAAAACAGGACGTAGTAAAAGCAATTCTTTTGTTGATTTTCCATTGATTTTATTTACCTTCTTCGAATAATTTCACATAATCTAAGATAACGTATTTATAGAAAAATACAGTACAAATTTAGATAAATGGAATATATTTATATTTTCTTTCTTCTTTTAGGTTATCCCGTGTTAAAATCAAACGTAACAATTACAAATATAACATCGGATAGCGTTGTTGTATATTTTCATAAATGGAATAAGGATACGGACGAAGGTGAAGGAACACCTTTCCGCTACTATGTTCAGTTTCAGATATGCTAATTGATATTAAATAGGTTATTTATGTAACGTATAGACTTATCACTTACGATACGTTTACAACATGTTATTCAATAGAATTTATAGTTTATACAGCTTTAAGTATTAGATAAAGACGACCGGATAATTCGAATTATGCATTTTGTAACTATTTGTACACTTGACTACAAATACAGAAAGTTGATCAAGAGATTTGATGTATAAGTAATACGAATTAATCTGGTGTAATGCGCAATATAAAGCTGACACTTGTAACGAAGAACAAAACTACAGTATTTACCTTCTCGCCTATTACATATAACAGAGGAAAGTAAGTCGATCGGTCAAAAAAGACCCCTCCGCATTTTTTGGACTCAGAAACCTTCAAACGCCGAGAAACGAAAAAATAATTTAGGGAGTTTTTTCAGTTTGTATGAATGTTAGTGTGTGCGTGTGCCACAATTCCCTTCACCGACTTTGAAGCTTGCTTAATTAATTAACTCCTGTGTCTTTTGTCAAAAATTTCTGAAATTTCGCAGAAAACTTTCTCACATATTAGGGAGATCGGTGCTATTAAATTTTGGTGATTAAAGGTCATAGGAGTGGGGAGGTTGAGGCGGAGTATTATGTCTCATATCTGGAATAAGGTTGAACTTAATGAAGATCTTGATTGTTATTAAGATTTACGGTATTTTAAATTTTTTTTATATATAAAACTCATCACTACCCAAAAAATTAAACTTATTCAAATTTTATAATAATTAATAATATAAAAGGTTTTTAAAATAAAATATCATGGCGCCACACGCAATTTTAAATGATTTGGCAGGGAAAGATAAGCAACTCTTTGTTGGGTTTTTTAATTTAAAATAATTTAAATTTTCAGCATTGCATTAATATCTACTTTAAAAGTATACACATTAAATTATTTAAAAGTAATATATATTTTCAGCTATGTCGAAGTGATACATATTAAAAATATATACTACATTATTTGAAAATCATGAAAAAAAAACTTACGAAATTTCCAGCGAAATAAGTTACATCAATTTTATATGAAATTTATTTTATCAGTTTCCATAACTTAGTACGAAGTCTTTGAATTTTACTCTGTGTTTCTTACGACCATATTCGCAAACAAGGATCAACAGTTAAAATTTGAAGACACGGACCATTCACTATACTTTTAGTACGTAAACGCTAANATCAAGAGATTTGATGTATAAGTAATACGAATTAATCTGGTGTAATGCGCAATATAAAGCTGACACTTGTAACGAAGAACAAAACTACAGTATTTACCTTCTCGCCTATTACATATAACAGAGGAAAGTAAGTCGATCGGTCAAAAAAGACCCCTCCGCATTTTTTGGACTCAGAAACCTTCAAACGCCGAGAAACGAAAAAATAATTTAGGGAGTTTTTTCAGTTTGTATGAATGTTAGTGTGTGCGTGTGCCACAATTCCCTTCACCGACTTTGAAGCTTGCTTAATTAATTAACTCCTGTGTCTTTTGTCAAAAATTTCTGAAATTTCGCAGAAAACTTTCTCACATATTAGGGAGATCGGTGCTATTAAATTTTGGTGATTAAAGGTCATAGGAGTGGGGAGGTTGAGGCGGAGTATTATGTCTCATATCTGGAATAAGGTTGAACTTAATGAAGATCTTGATTGTTATTAAGATTTACGGTATTT